ACAACTAGTCCAATGGACTAGTGGACCATGTGAACCTCAGCCCATATAACCATGAGACCAGAAGAACTAGATGGTGCCCGCCAACTACTAGGAAAGGGAGATCCTGGATAGAATGAGAGAACAATGTGGAAAAAAAATTCAAAATCATAATAATGACCAGATTTACTGGTCTGATAGAGCTAGGTGAGACCCCTGAGATTATGGCCCCTAGTTATGCTTTGGGTCTGGAATTGAACTCACTCCTGTGGCTTCCAACCAAACGATAGACAGGCATATAGGGTGAACATTTACATCAGGTAGATATACTCCTTAGAGTGATCAATCATGGGAGAACAGAAGGGCAATATTTGCATAGGGAGATAGCTCAGGGTCAGGAATGCATAGGAAAGAAGGACATAGGGAAGAGGTAACCATGGGGAGGAAGCGTGAGGAGAGCTGTTACATTGTGGGGAACTGCAGTCGATGTCATAAAACAAAATGTGTATGAACTGCATGGAAAATGAATTTTCTCTGTAAAATTTCACCCAAATCACAATAAAAATAATAATTAAAAAAGACAGTTTTCTTGCTTCCCTAACTGTTCTTAGCTTTGCCTCCCAGAATTGAATCTTCTTTCCCAAGCTCCCTGAATATAAACTCAGAATGCTGGACCAAGGCACTAGACAGTATCCAAATCCTGAGGCCACTCTTGGATCACCATAACCCTCCCCCTAATGGTCAAGTTTCCCTGAAACCTGAAACCTGGTCATCAGCGCCTTTGCTCTTAGAGGAGTCTACCATATCAGCAGCTGTTCCTCTGAGTCTTTTATCTGTATCCCACCACCTCTGTTTTCCTGTTTCTCTTTCTATCACTGTTTCTCTGTCTCTGGATACCCCCTTTTTTCTTCGTGTTCCTCCTATGTTCTCTGTCACTAGAGCTCCACCGAAGGCAAGGGCTGATGAGCCTGGGTGCTTAGGGGGTAGTGGCCAGACAAGGGGCCCGGGACATGAGCACAAGTTTCCAAGCTTCTCTTCCAGGCCCCTGTGGCTGGGGAGCTCCACAGAGGGAGAGATGAGTCAGTAGGGCCGCAGAGCAGGGAGGGGAGCCTAGCTAGGGGTGGGGATGCCTGCCGGGGTTCCCTAGGGCCAGAGATTTTTCTGGGTCCATCTGAGTCTCAGAACTTGGGTGAGTATGCAGAGTAAGGGACTGGTGAGTCCCCCAAAAGTACACTGGAGGTTCCTATTCTAGTCATAGGTATCAACTGTAGGACTGACGGTTAGAAGACCTCAGGATCTCTGTAACTGTAAAGTTGTGACGATTGTCCTGTGTGTATGTATGTGACATTTGCCATATGTGCAAATGTATGTACTGATGGAAGTCTGAATGTGTCCACATGGTGGTATTCTGGGTGACTACATACATGTACGTGTATACTAGTGTGTGCATTTGCGTGATTGGGGGTTAGGGTAAGTGTCTTGGTATAAGCATTATGTGTATATGTATATATCAGTGTGTGTCAAGATGGATGCCTGCATATGTGTGTACATATACATATATGTGTATATGAATTGTATAACCCAGAGTGTGTGCAAGTATGTGTCTGAATGTGTGTTATTTACTAGGTGTGTATGTGTCAATCTTTGTATTTCAGAAGCTCTATTCCTTGTTCAAGGAGCCCTCGTGGCATAATGCTTACGTGTTGGACTGCTGGCTGCTAATCAAAATGTCAGCAGTTCGAAACCACCAACTGTTCCTTGGGAGAAGTGGCAGTCTGCTTCTATAGAGATTACAGCCTTGAAGCCCTATTGGGTAGTTCTACTGTGTCTTATAAGGTCACTGTGAGTTGGATTAGACTCAACAGCAATGGATTTTGGTCCTGGTATTTTTATTCCTTGTTCATTGATGATTCTTTCCAGGTGGCCAAGCCTTCTACAACAATAGCAAAGGGAAGGGATATCAGAGTATGTCCAGCCAGGAGAATGAGTAGCAGGTAGTCAGTGTGGAAGGAGGTAGCTCCCTGAGGAATAAGGGAATAGAGGTCTCATACTCTCCCCTGTTTTCATGCTCTCTCCACTCCTACTGATCTTTCCCAAAAGACCCAAAGCCACTAGAGAGAATTGAAGCAGGTTCCAAATTCAACTCTCTCTAACCTAGAAATCCCACCCTGATTCTCCTAGGGGAGAGAAGGAAGGGAGTGGTCCCTTGTGGTTCAGGCCAGTCTTGGGGTTGGGAGATCAGAAAGCACCATCCCACCCCTTCCTTCAGGGGCGTCCATCTCTAGAAGCTCAGTGTCTGGGTGGCCATAGGCGGAGGCTGAGGGGCCCCCAGGGTGGTGGTGGGGGTGGATAGAAACCAGATGCCTAGGGGGTTTATACTGGAAGGACCAGAGCCGCAGCCTCAACCCACCCCTGCCACATGGCGCCTCTGCCTGGGCTGCCCCACCCCCTGGGAGGCTGGGCAGAGGGAGGCCTGCAAGGGTGGAAGCAGGTCCTTGGTCAGGGCTCCCAGTTGATGCCCCCAGACCCTGAAGGCACTGGGAAGGGCAAAGGGGGCAGAACCCAGGAATACCAGGTGCTCCACTAGGTTGCAAGACTGTCTTGAAAAGCACATACCAGAAGCAGGGTCCTAAGGGAAGCAGACCGGAAGAAGGCAGCTGGGGAATTCAGGCAGTCTCTCCTGCCTCGCTTTGGCACAGACCTTTGGGCATTTTACTGGGGTTGACATCAGGGGTCCTGACTCACATTGTCCTGCTCCTCCTTTCCCTTCCCTAGAACTTTGGGATTTGAACACTTCTCTTTTTCTCTTTCAGTCTCCTCCTTTCTACCTCAATCTTATTTGAGCCCTAACCCTTTCTCTCCCCTGCCATCTTTTCTGTAGATTCTAGACTTTTCTCCTCTGTCTCAGTTTCCTGCCTGATCTAACTAGTCCCAGATTTTTCTGCTGGAAGTATAGTAATTTCTTCAAAGCTTCCCACTCTTCTGAACTTCTGAGCTGGGGACCCCAGGAATCCATCTGGCATCTCAGGCTCAGGTCCCCCTCCCACCAGGGGGAGACTGTGAGGTCACTGGGACACCCCACCATGAGCACTTCCTCTTGGGCAGACGGGTGGGGTGGCCCTTGTAATCATCGGACACAATTATGCGCTATTTATACTCCATCCCCGCCCCCCACCTGCCGGCTGCTCATCCCTCCCCGCCTCCTCCAGACCTGGCCATGCCTCCAGCTATTTTCCTTGTCCTTCTAAGCCATTGTCTCCTCATCTTTGTTCTTCTAGGCTGGTTCTTTTCCTTTTGAAGTCTTTCAGCTCTCTCTTTAATAAAGCCACATCTCTGGTCATCTATTTCCTCTCTGTTTCCTATCCTCCAGACCTTCTCCCCTTGGATTGTTACAGTTGCTTTTCATGTCTCTCTGTGTTTCTTCTCTTGCATCTTTCTTTTTGTCTTCAACCACTCTGGTTCCCTAACTCTTTCCCAAAAAGTTGGGTTCACAGGATTCCTCCGGAGAAATTAAAGAGGGCTGGAATCCAGAACTCCTGCGTCCTACCCTGAACAGAGGCTCCTGCCTGCTAGTTAAACTGAAACTGCTGTGTAACTCTTTCTGCACATCAATCTGTTCCTTCTCCCTCCCAGCTTTTTTCCTTGGGGAGTTAAGTGCAAAAGAAGCATGGAAGTGGGCACTCAGTTGTGGTCAAAAGAGAAAGTGAGGGGATTGTGTTGGGGAGTAAGGGGGATGGGAAAAGACAGGGCTTCATTCCTCTGAGGGGCAGGGCTGGGAGGGGGCAAGATGTATGTGTTGGGAAATAACTTGTGAAACAACCCCAGCTGGCTAGGCCCCTCTGTGGGAGAGATGCTGGTTCTACCACTTGGCTGCCCATCCCTCTCTCTCCCATAAACTTACCCCAGGACCCAGGTTTCAGTTAATAGATTTTTTTTGTTTCCCTCTCTCAATCTGGTTGACCTTTCTTCTCTTCTTCCCCATTTTACTGGGAAGTCAAAATTGGAAAATTCTTCTTAACCTCTAATTTCAATTGTGCTGTAGAGGGAACTGATGGATGGCAATGAGAGAGGAAACCTAGAGCTCCTTCCCAGGAGAGTATGATCACTCCTAAGAAGTCTTATGCATCAGAAGATGGAGATTAGATCTGCAACCAAGAGGGGCCCAGGACTATAACTAGCAAGGAACTATGGAGGCAGGGACATTTCTTGAATGAATTGAGCCAATTACCTTTTACCCTATCCTTAATCCTGCCTGCCTTAAATTTTCTCAGAATCAGAAGACCCAGGTTCTGCCCCACTAAGTGAGGTAAATCTATAGATGTTACCTCCCAGCAGTGAAACTGAGGCGCTGGGAGGAAGACTGGGGAATCCCCAAGACTTCGCCAAGCCCCTCTCTCTCATTCTCCACCCATTCCCTTTAGGTCTTGCTCTAGAATCTAACTCGATGACCCTAAGAATTTGGGCAGCGGAAGCCTCCACCTCACACACACACACACACACACACACACACACACTGCTCTCCTGATCAAGGGGTGGGTGACTAGGAACATAAGCATCTCCGTGGCCAATTTGGGAGTGTGTGTGTCTGCATCCATGTCACTGTGTTCATTTGTGTGTGAGTTTGTCTGTGTTCATTCATGACAGTAGCTGTACCCATGTGTGTAGTACTGTGCATGTGTATGTGTGCATGGATCATCCCTGTGTTTGTCCATAAGTGTGTATGTCAGTGTATTCCAGTCTCTCTGTGTGAGTGTTGTCCCCAGTCCCCCATCTCCCCCCCCCCCCGGATCTCTAATTAGTGGTTTGGGGTTTGTTCATTTTCCCTCCTGTTCCTTTCCTCAGCAGCGGCAGCGGCAGCGGGCCGGCAGCGACGGCGGTAGCAGCAGCCTCAGCAGCAGCAGAAGCCAAGCAGCAGCAAGGCTCTGGAGTCAGAGTAGGAGCTTAGAATTGGAGCCTGAGTGGGAACAGGAGTGCAGCTGTCCTGGGAGAGAAGCAGATCCTTCCTGGGACTCAAGGCCACTCCTTGCCTGCACCCTCACTGCCAGACCTCCAGAGAAGAGAGACTCAGGACACCCAGCCCCAGACTCTCCCCAGGTACAGAACACCACAGATGTTTATGGGAGTGTTGGGGGTGTGTAGGACACCTGGGTCCACCTTCCTTTAACCTTTCCCCTCTTAGCACCCCCTAAGGAAGCCCTGATAATTTGCCCACGATCTTATCCCCCTTCCGGCCTCCCATCCCTTCCCCTGGGTGCCCCCTTTTCCCCTCTCCCTCTCAGATCCCTTCTTTGGGGAGCTCAGCAAATGGAGCAGGAAATTTGGACCCTCTGCCTCCCTCTCTCGCCCTTCTCATTGGATCCGGAGCCTTCTCCTCTGGGAAAGCTGTAATTAGAGGGTGGATCCCTACAGACAGAGAGCAGCCCCCCCACCCCCACCCCCTAGTCCCTTCTAACTTTAGATCTCTTCTCTCCCATTCTCCCATTCTCCCTCCCTCTCCCCTCTCCCTGTCTCTCCGGCTCGGCTCTCTCCATCTGCCTCGCTCCTTGGAACCCTGGTTCCCCAGCCTCAGGATGGCATCCTCCCTGCTTGAGGTAACTGTCCCTTACCCCCACCCCCACCCCAGGACACTAGCGACAATCTTAATGGCCTTAGTCCTTGCGCACCCAACCCCCCAACTCACACTGGCAGTAGTAGCCGTGGTGCTTGTCATTTCCAGGGGTCCCTGAGGAGAGAGAAGTAGGTTCAGAGGAGAGAGGAGAAGAGGGCAGGAGAAGGGGGAGGAAAGAGGCCAGGGCCAGGGATCAGAGAGTAGTCAAAGGAAGGTGAGGGGTGTCAGAAGAAAGCATGGACCGTAGGGTCAGCCAAGCACTCCAACTCTGAGAAGTGGAAAAGAGATGGAGAAAGGAAGAAGAGAGGAGGAGTAGGGAGAGTTGAGAGATAGATGAGTTGGTAGCAGATGGTGGGGGTGAGGGCAGAGAGGACTCATTGGGGGGGCATGGAGTAGCAACTGGATATAGTTCTTTGGGGGTGCTGTCTCCTGAGACTCCTAGCCTTAGCAGCATCTTGTCTGGTCTGTGTGTGGGTGGGGGCCTGGGCCTCTGGGCTGGTGTGTGTAGGAGAGGAGGTGGGCTATGAGCTGCTAAGAAGGGCAGCCCTGTGCATGTGGGGGAGCTGACCAGGGGAACAGCCCAGGCCTGAGAGGGAACTAAGGGGGAGGGACAGGGTCTGAGGCCTCCTGCCCAGCTCACAAATATTTAGCTTTCAGTCAAAGACAAACTTAGCTCTATTTTGGGAGTGGGAGGCTCCAGGGCGGACTGGGCCACTTCCCCTCCAGCCTGGGACCCCAGCATCCCTTGCTTTTGGAGCTGGGGAGAGAGGGAACTGGGGTACCAGAGGGCTCGGGGGTTGGATCCCTGAGAAATCACTGGGGGACCCAAGGTACTTAGCTAGAGGAGGCCTGCAGAGCAGCACCCTGCTGGGAATGGGGAACTCCAGCCGATTTCAAGGTCCTGAGTTTCCCCTGCTTCTGGGTCACTGACTCTGTTTCTCTGTCTCCATCTCTGCCCTGCTTTCTAGGTCCCCCTGTAGGAGTTTGGGGCCAAGAGCCATTCCTGAATGCCAACCCCCTTCAGCAGCCTTGAAACTTTCCCATTCTTGGGCCTCTCTAAACCCCCATCTCTGCTCCTAGTGCCCTAGTTCAGGTCACAGAGGTGATAGGGCAAACAGGAAGCAGAAACTAAGAGATCCCACCTCTTTCATCTTCACAGGAGTGTGCATGAGATTAGGTGAGAGTCTTTCAATGCCTATGTTCACTGGCGTGATTGTATGTGTTAGAGTATAAACCAATGTGCCCGAACGTGGCTGGTTTTCTGAGAGTACAGGTGTGCATGTCAGCTGTGCTGACTTGTCTACTAGTCTAAATGAGGAATATTGTGTTTGTAGGACTATGAGAGTGAGTTTGTGACTGAGTTTAAGGAATGGCATGCGAGCCAATAGGGTGGGTACCATGCCCTGTGTCACTACTCTGTATCCTGTCAGGGTTCTCTAGGTATTGTATTCTATCCCCACCAGCAATGGGGGCAGATTTCCCACCCTGTTACTTCCCCAGTGAGCACTATAATGAGTCACCACTGAAATACTATGGTCCTGATGAAGCTGGAGGATAGATGCATGGAAATCCTAGGTCCACCCAAGGCAGGGGCAGTGTCAGTGTCAGCAGGGTGGGTGTCATGCCAGAGTTGCCAGCGTGGCACTGGTGCCTGGGGGAAGGGCTGGCCCAGGGACCTGCTGGTAAGACATGGGATAGGGATTGCACTTGGCAAGAGGAATGTGGAGGGAACTGGGTTGCATGTCCCCTTACTCCTTGTCAACTAGAGATGCCCCCAACACAAAGATACTCCACTCTCTCCACCTTTTTCATCTCCTGGACCTGGACCCTTAACCACCTCTACTACCACTAGAAGGAATCCTTCTGGCTGGTATGGGCAGGCTTTCTGGCAGTGGGAAGAACTTGGGGTTCAGAGAGGGAAGCAGTTGCTGCTTAATGGGAGGAGGTTCACCTGAGTTGGGCAAGACACTGGGGAACAGGGAGGAGGAGGAAGAAGTGGGGAGCAAGGTAGACTGGAGAAGTGGGAAGCTGGGAGAACTAAGAAACTTGGAAGGAGGCTGAGAAAGATAAGAACTGGAAACTGGGGCTTGGGTGCTCAGAACCTATGGCCCATCAGCCCTCAGATGAATAGAGAAACTTTCCAGTGGGAAGTCAGGCTAGCTGCCTAAGTACTGAGAGACTCCCTGGAAAGAGGGAACCCCCTTCCTCTGCTCCATATCTGGATGAAAGAGCTGGGGTCTCATGGTTTCCTATCTTGTTCTCTCTATAGAGACTCTCCCATCAGTACTTCAAGGATTTTTTTTTTTTTTTTAAATGGATGATGGGATGGAGGTGGTGGGGGGAAACAACTGGAAGTCTGGCCTCCTGGGTCCTGGAAAGGTAGTACATTTGATCAGGTCTGAGAGAGCACACTCAGAACCTTTAACCAGGACCCCCTGCCCAATTTTCAGGCAAGAACAATCCACAAGAGAAAGAAACTGAGGCTTGTGGTGAAATTCAGCTCTGTGCCCAACTCTTGGTCTCCAGAAGAGCCTGGAGAGAAGGACTAGTGCCTGGCTTCTCCTTCCCTGCCCTCAGGGGTTCTGCAGGCCTCCTTCCCTAGGGCTAGCTGGGGTCTCTTGTTGGCCTGGGGCTAGCTGCCTTCTTTCACCCCTCCTTCTCTCCCCACAGCTGGGTGGGGTCCCTGGGCTTGGCTGAGGCCCCTGTGGCCACAGTGTGAGGGCCGGGCGGGGGGACGGCGTCGGCGTTTTTAAAAATAAACCGACCGCAGGGAAACCAACGGAGCCGGGCTGGGCTGGGCTGGGCAGAGGAGGAGGGGGTGGTCAGGACGGGAGAACGAGGGAGGAGTGGCCTGGTCTGGGGGTTTTCTGGGGCCTAGCATCTTGGTGGTTTTCTTCTAGGTAGGAAGTCAGCCTCCTTCCTCCCTCCTCTTTTCCCCCTCCTTTCCCATCCTCTCTGTTTTCCTTAGCTTTCCTGTTCCAGTCGCTTCTGTCACTTCTTTGTTTATTCGGCTCTCCTCTCTCCCCTTCCCTGTTGTCTTTTTTACCTTTCTGCTTTTGTGGGTCCCTGCCCATTCGGTCTTTTAATGGCAGTTTTCACTCTGTCCCCCTTTTCCCCTACCCCACAGGGGCTTTTATGTCAGTCCCTGACCCTGCACAGGATCCTCTGTGCTCCATGTCTATGAGTTTGTGCCTTTCTCCTTCGAACTTCGAACTCCATGCGTCTATGTCTTTCAGCTAGCATTTGACTCCTGCCCCACCAGCTACCCTGCCTTAGCCCACCGAAGATCAGAGGCTCCAGGGAAACTCTGGCTGGGAGGGACCCTGGGGGTATACTGTGGCCATATTTGAGGAAGCTTTTGACATCTCAAATTTGAGAGCCCATGGAGCCAGCAGGACCTCAAAGAGAGGTAATTGGAGGGGGGAGGACAGCAGACTTGCATTTGTAGGGCAGTACACAAACCCCTCACTGCAACCTTAAGACACCAGACCTACCTCTAAGGTTGAAATCACACACACACTCACACACACACATCCCCAATGTTAGGAGCTACCAGACAGGGCTGGGAACCCTGGATTATTAGGTTCTTTCTTAGCTTCATTGGGAAGGCACCAGGCAAAGTCCCTGGGTGGCACAAACAGTTTGCTCTTGACTACTAATCAAAACATTGGGGGTTTAAATCTACCCAGCGATGCTTGCAGAAAAAGGCCTGGCAATTTGCTTCTGTAAAGATCACAGCTAAAAAGAAAACTCTATGGAGCTCTGTTTGCAGCACATGGGGTCACCACGAGTCAGAATCAACTCAAGAGCAATGAGTTTTGTTTTGTTTTGTTTTAACCAGTGAACTGCATAAGGTTAGATTTTGAGGACATCTTTTTTGGGGGTATTCTCAGTAATGGATGCCTATGTATGCCAGAGTACCACAAACTCTTAGGTGGTGGTGATCTTGGGAGTGGTTTGACCCACCTCTTCCCCGGTAGCAGCAGCATGGTAGGCATTAAGAAGATACTTTTGTGCTTCTAAAAGACTCCATGCTCTGCATATATACTTTCACTCACTGTGAGAGAAAGGTGAAGAGATACCAACTTTGTGGGCTGCATGTTAGAGGACACTGAGGCATGGAGGAGTGTGGCTGTGAGCCAGATGTGAGCCTTGGAGGAGCCTGAGGGCCTGGGGCTCTTCCCACTCTCCCAAAGGGGTACCAGCTTGTGTCACAAAGCAAGGGGTTCCCACTGCTCGCTTGAAAGACATTCTTGCCTCAGCCACAGTCCTGGTTTGGCGGTAGCCCTGTTCCCTCTCAATGTCCCAGTGTCTCTGCCATTGCCCCAGAGTTCCTGCCAAGAGATTCCTTACCAGGGACATGAGAACTGACCTCAGGGAAACCAGGCCACTGCCTTAGTCTGGGGGTAAAGCACAGACAGGAAGTGGAATATGGGATGAAATCAGGAAGATCTGGAAGAGCAAACTCCAGTCCCCTAATACTTGACTTTCACATTATGCTGCTCTTAGAGCATCAGCTTCCCTCTCCAAGCCTCTGCTCATGACTTCTGCTCTAAAACCACTTCCAGGAGTCAAGAGTTCTAATTCTCACCTCACTCAGACACCTCCTCTTTTCCAGCTCTTCTCACAATTATTTAAGCACAGTCTCCTATTCCTAGGAGGCCCTATGCACACCCCTAGCAGCCCCACAATGATTTCTGCTTTATGCCTCCTGGGGTAAGGCACTAAGTTGCAGATCTGGGCCTCTGTTCTCCTCCCATGACTCCACGTTGGCTCTGCCCCTGGTTCTCACTGGTCCATCTCTCTCTTACCTCTAATCCCCCTATAAACTCTTCCCTGGACTCTCTTTTCTGTTCTCCATGTGTCTAGGGCTCAGCCTCTGAGCTTTGCCCTTTATTCCGCACCTCTCCTCCTCTTCCCCTAAACAGTGCTCCCTTCTCCCCACAGGAGGAAGCTCACTATGGCTCCAGCCCTCTGGCCATGCTGACGGCAGCATGCAGTAAATTTGGTGGCTCCAGCCCTCTGCGGGACTCAACAACACTGGGCAAAGTGGGAGCAAAGAAGCCATACTCTGTGGGCAGTGACCTCTCGGCTCCCAAAACCATGGGGGATGCCTACCCAGCCCCCTTTTCAAGTACCAATGGGCTCCTCTCACCTGCAGGGAGTCCTTCAGCACCCACTTCGGGCTATGCAAATGACTACACTCCCTTTTCTCACTCATTCCCTGGGCCTACGAGCACCCAGGATCCTGGGCTACTAGTGCCCAAAGGGCACAGCTCTTCTGACTGTCTTCCAAGTGTCTACACCTCCCTGGACATGGCACACCCCTATGGCTCCTGGTACAAGGCAGGCATCCATGCAGGCATCTCACCAGGCCCAGGCAATGCTCCTAGCCCTTGGTGGGACATGCACCCTGGGGGCAACTGGCTAGGTGGTGGTCAGGGCCAGGGTGAAGGGCTGCAAGGGACACTGCCCACAGGCCCTGCTCAGCCTCCACTGAACCCCCAGCTGCCCACCTACCCATCTGACTTTGCCCCCCTTAATCCAGCCCCTTACCCAGCTCCTCACCTCCTGCAGCCAGGGCCCCAGCATGTCCTGCCTCAAGATGTCTATAAACCCAAGGCAGTGGGCAATAGTGGGCAGTTGGAGGGGAGTGGTGGAGCCAAACCCCCAAGGGGTGCAGGCACTGGGGGCAGTGGTGGATATGGGAGCAGTGGGGCAGGGCGTTCCTCCTGTGACTGCCCCAATTGCCAGGAGCTAGAGCGGCTGGGGGCAGCTGCAGCCGGGCTACGGAAGAAGCCCATCCACAGCTGCCACATCCCCGGCTGCGGCAAAGTGTATGGCAAAGCCTCACACCTGAAGGCCCACTTGCGCTGGCACACGGGGGAGAGGCCCTTCGTCTGCAACTGGCTCTTCTGTGGCAAGAGGTTCACTCGTTCAGACGAGCTGGAGCGCCATGTACGCACTCACACCCGGGAGAAGAAGTTCACCTGTCTGCTCTGTTCCAAGCGCTTTACCCGAAGCGACCACCTGAGCAAACACCAGCGCACTCATGGCGAGCCAGGCCCTGGCCCCCCTCCCAGTGGCCCCAAGGAGCTGGGGGAAACCCGCAGCACGGGGGAAGAGGAGGCCAGCCAGACCCCCAGACCTTCCACCTCACCTGCACCCCCAGAGAAAGCCCCTGGAGGCAGCCCCGAGCAGAGCAACCTGTTGGAGATCTGAGCAGGGCTATCTTGTCAGCCTCTCCTGGCTCCGTGGAACACTGCTTGCCCCTCACCCCCTTTGTGCCACGCATGCTGCCCCTTAGGGCTTTCTCCATGTCTCCTCTGGCCATTCTGGGCCTCAGTATCTCCTAAAAGTTTCCTCATCTCACCTCCTCCCTTCACCGTAAGCCTGGGTTCCTGCACTTTTGCTTCCTAAGCTCTTCCCTCACCCTGGCTCATAGCTTCTCTCTCCTCTGCTCTTGCCACACCACCTCCTTTTCTTCCATTTGGGCTCCATCTCACTAACTCCTTGACATGCATCCTTTCTGCTCCCCAAGCTTATATTTCTCCATTCCTCAACTTCCAGGCTCCAATTTTCCCAACTTAACTCCACTGCTTTCCTCTCCAGAGCTTTCTTCCTTTCTACAAACACAATAATGATAATGATGATAATTTATTGCCCCCTGGTGGCCCCTTTATTAGGGACCAGAGTTAGGGGAACTGGGGTTAGTGACCTGGCAGGGAGCAGGGTACCATGATGGGGGCAGACCAGCAGGGATCTGATCCCAAAGATGGGGTGACCCCAGCGTCAGGTAGGCTGCCCCCAGGCCTGTGTATTTTACCCCTCTGTACCGAGAATAATGAATAGTAATAATAATAATTCTATTTATCTAAGTTATGATGACGGGTCAGGTAGAGTGAACTGGGGAGGGAAGGGGGTCCATTTTTGCTAAGGAAATTCTAGCCAAATGCATCTCTGTATAAACGAAGGGTTAGTGGAAATCTTGTTAATAGAATATCTATAATCAGGGTCTCAGTTAATGAGGTTTCTCTTTTAATGAAATATCTGCTAATAGATGTATGTTAAAGAATTGATGGGGATATCTTTCAATGAGGGGATCCCTAACATCCCAAGCCCCAGCCAGAAGCTGTGAAACCTCAAGTCCTATGGAGGGGAGAAGGACTGGAATTTATCCCAGCTTCCTCAACCCCAGAGCAGGTTCTTCCCACTGTTCCTCAGACACCATGACCACATCAGGTTAATTCTCAGTTGCCATGGTTATGGAAACCTTGAGGCTTCCATCTTTGACACATTCTCTTGGGAAAACCCATCTAACAGGAGGAGGACGTTAGTTTGGAAGTACCTCTCCTGAAGAATGGGTGGGGAAGGCTTTCTCTGGGATCAGGTTCAAATAGATCAAGCATTTATTGAGTGTCTGCAATGTGCAAGGCATTATGTTAGGCCCGGTGCCTAGAAGCCATGAGAAAGAAGAAAATTACTGAGCTAGGAGGACAGAGGACCTCAAAGTTGATTTGGAGTGTGTCCATAAGCCCCCTATCCAGGACTTCTGATGCTCCCAACTCCACTTTCAGTGACTTTTAAAGCCGCTTTGTGCCTTTGAATGCCTTTCCTGTGACTTTGGATCCTCCTTTTCCGACTCCTGTTTCCTCAATGCCCCAAGTTAAAAGGTTAAAGCCGCTGGAGCTTGGGGAGAGGGTAATATTGTGGAAGGGAAGGGATGATGCCCTCATGGAGTCTTTTTTTTTTTTTTTTAAGTTTAATAAATAAAAATTTGATTTGAAATATTGTACTGGTGAGAAAAGGAGAAGAGAAATAGCGAGGGGTGGGCCACACGATTTTTCCTTAGCAGACTGGGGACTTCTGCGGGCATTCTACTGCGCACGTTTGCAATTTATACGCTCTGTAAAATACTTAGTCGTCCAGGCCCTCCCGCTGAGTTTGGTTTTTGACCACCCGGTGTTCTCTGCAGAGTTGGGAAGGCAGAGGCACAGAGTGGTTACTCCCTAGGCTCTTTCTCAGATTCTGCAACAACCGACCTTGGCCAGGACTGTAACCCACCAGGTCACCGACTGCTGCGTGGCCCCAGCCCCTCCGCATTGGAGCTCCGAGCCGGCAGACCCGGCCTGGCACGTAACCCGCCCCCTGCCCCGGGCCTGCAATCAGTCGTGCCCGCCACGGAGTTAGCGGAGGAACAAAAGCCACTCTGTGGCGGCCATCCCTAAGCCACAATAGGGCTTTGTGCGGCCTCCGCCCCCTAGGGCTCCCCCGCTGGGATGAGGGAGCTCTCAGGCTTCCCCCTTTCCACCCCTGGCCTGGGCTCGACTCCGGGCGGTGCCCTCGGGTCGGATGGTCCAAGTCGCTGGGACCTAAGAGGCTCTGGTGGCAGTGGAACGGGTGGGAGGGGATTGAGGATTCGGAGAAGGTTAGCTAGACTTGCTCGGGTTACTAGTCCCCTCCCTAACCCGCTGTCACTCCTACCCTTGCCCAGGTGCGAAATCTCCTGCCCTCAGGCTGGGCGCGGGGCTTCAAAGGCGCTTTGAAGAAATCCGAGTTCCGAGGACTTCTTTAGTAGGCTAGGGGCTGTGGCGGAAGAGAGGCGGGGAGAGGGGGTTGGGGCCGATAAGGAGCGAGGGCCACCTTAGAGCTGGTCTAAGACAGAAGGTCCTGAGTGGACCCCCGGACTCCCGCCCCCACCCCGCGGGGCAGGCTCCTCAGGACCCAGGGGAGCCTGGCTCTAGCCTCCCTGTCCCCGCCTGTCCGGTGCCAGCTCCTGCCCGCCGCAGCCTCGCGGTCCTCTCCTCCCCTGCCCCTTGGCCCCTTTCATCTTTCCTAGACTCCGCCTGGGGTTTTTCTGGTTTCTGGGAGATAAAAACCGCCTCAAATAGCGGCGGCGCGCTGCCAGGACAAACAGGGCCAGGCGGGCCATGTGCGCTTGGTTACCAGCCCCGAGACCTGGCGGCCGGCTTTCGGCGGGCCCAGGAAGGGGTGTAGGCCCAGCTCCAAGCACCCAGGCTCCGGCGAGGCCTCCCGCCTCCCAAAGTGGAGGCCCTTTTTAGAAGTCTAGGTTTTCCTCCCAGGTCGTAGGGAGGGGCCCCCAGTGGAGACCGCCCGCAAAGCGCTCTGAGCCTAGGCGGTGGTGGGTCACACTCGCTGTGTCGCCAGGGCCACCGCGCCCCCTGGTGAAGTTGGTGAGGAGCGCGCTGGCCTGCAGTGCGCTATAGGCCCATGTGCATTTTGCAAAAAACCATTCATCAAAAGTTAAATAAGCAATATGAGAGAGGGGAGAGAAGGCCCAATATCATCCTTGGTCGGGGATGTGAGGGGGCATGAATGCACATCTCTCTGCTCCTCCTTTCTAGTTCACATTACAGGTGAGAGGCACCTAAACAATAATTAAAACCTCTTTAAGGCAGAAAATTGAGGCTTCATGAAATGGTGGTTAAAGTTGTCGGCAAACCAAAAAACAAAACCAAACATACTGCCATCAAGTTGGATCCGAGTCACAGCTACCCCTCCTTGGGTTTCTGAGGCCATATCGCTATGGAAGTAGATTGCCCAACCAGCCTTCAGGTTAGCAGTCTAATGCCTTAGGCACTAGGCCTTAGGCACTAAGCCACCAGAGTTCCTAGTTGCCAGCAGGAGTGATTAATTTCATGGGATATCTGGGATTAGATGGTGCCATGATTAATGTAGGGACAAACAAAAATTTTGTCATTGCGTCCTCAGAGTTCTCCACCAATCTGTCAGTCGTTGAGTCCCTTTTTCCTTTCAGGTGTGTTCATTCCTCCTTCTCAACTAGAGCTTTCCCAACCAGGTTCCCCAGACTACCCTACTCTGCCCTTTAAGTGTTGTGTAAGTTCCCAGGTACTGGTGAACTAATTTGGCAAATTATACTGGGAGGCAAAATGGTGACATATTCATGGTCAAAAAGAACATTTCAAGATCTATCCTGAAGTACAATGCTGTCAGTGGTAATAAAATACCCATTCGCCTACAAGGCAGACCACTTAAATTCAAATTTACAGAACAAACACTAATGCCGAGGATGAAGAAATTGAAGATTTTTACCGACTTCCACAGTCTGAAATTGATCAAACATGCAATCAAGATGTATTGATAGTTATTGGTGATTGGAATGCAAAAGTTGGAAACAAAGAAAAAGGATCTGGTAGCTTAAAATATGGCCTTGGAGACAGAAACAATCCCACAGGTCATGTGATAGAATTTTGCAAGATCCACGACTTATTATTCATTGCAAATACCTTTTTCTAACAACATGAACGACAACTATACATATATACTATTCATCACCAGATGGTATACTAAGTAATCAAGTTGACGACAACTGTGGAAAAAGATGACAGAGACGCTCAGTGTCATCAGTCAGAAAAAACACCAGGGCCAACTGTGGACAAACCATCAATTGTGCCTGTGCAAGATAAGTTTGCAAGAGTCAAGGTACAACCTTAAGTATTGTTATTGCTGTTGTTAGGTGCCATAGAGTCAGCTACAGCTCACAGCAACCCTCTCCATAGCAGAACAAAACACTGCTCAGTCCTGTGCCAGCCTCACAATACTTGCTATACCTGAGCCAATTATTGCAGCCACTGTGTCAATCCGTCTCCTTGAGGGTCTTCCCCTTTTTTGCCGACCCTTCACTTCACCAAGCATGATATCCTTCTTCGGGGAATGGTCCCTTCTGACAATGGTCCCTTCTGACAACATGACCAAAGTAGGTGAGGTGAAATCTGGCCATTCTCGCTTCCAAGGATCACTCTGGCTGCACTTCTTCCAGGACGGATTCGTTAGTTCTTCTGACAGTCCACGGTAATTTCAGTATTCTTTTTTTTTTTTTTTTAACTTTCAGTATTCTTCACCACCACCACAACTCAACAGCATCAACTCTTCTTCAGTCTTCCTTATTTTTTGTCTAGGTTTCACATGCATATACCAAACCAAACACACTGCCATTGAGTCAGACCCGATTCATAAGTGACCCCTCCTTGGATTTCTGAGGCAGTATCAATATGGAAGTAGATTGCCCAACCTTCTTTCTGAGGAGTGGCTGGTGGGTTTGAACTGCCAGCCTTCTGGTTAGCAGTCAAACGCCTTAGGCACTACACCACCAGAACTCCCAACATATGAGGCTATTGAAAATACCATGGCTTGGGTTAGGCACACACCTTAATCTTCAAAGAGACATCTCTTCAGTACTT